AAAAATGAAGAAAAAATATGAAATAATAAGATTAATTAATTTATAATAAAGGCAAAATTTGAAAATAAAGTGATGTGCTAAATTAACAAAGAAAGAAAGAACAAATAAAGCAAGCACAATAAAAAGAAAAAGAAAAAAGAGCTTTGTTGTTTTAAATTAGTTTTTATAATTAAAAATATCACAATCCAAAACAAATAAACTGTTTTTACCCAAGATCAAGTGTCAAATTTGAGAGATTAATGCAATTTGCTAAAGCAGAACCTAAGACTGATACACCTTCATCACCAATTTTATTCCAACTTTTTAAATATTGAAGAAAAAATATATCATTAAATAGTTAATTAGAAGGAAAAAATGAAGAAAAAATATGAAATAATAAGATTAATTAATTGATAATAAAGGAAAAATTTCAAAATAAAATGATGAGCTAAATTAAAAAAGAAAGAAAGAACAAATAAAGCAAGCACAATAAAAAGAAAAAGAAAAAAGAGCCTAGTTGTTTTAAATTAGTTTTTATAATTAAAAATATCACAATCCAAAACAAATAAACTGTTTTTACCTAAGGTCAAGTGTCAAATTTGAGAGATTAATGCATTTTGCTAAAGCAGAACCTAAGCCTGATGCACCTTCATCACCAATTTAATTTCTACTTTTTAAATATTGAAGAAAAAATATATCATTAAATAGTTAATTAGAATGAAAAAATGAAGAAAAAACATGAAATAATAATAAGATTAATTAATTAATAATAAAAGCAAAATTTGAAAATAAAATGATGAGCTAAATTAACAAAGAAAGAAGAACAAAAAAAGCAAACACAATAAAAAGAAAAAGAAAAATGAGCTTTATTGTTTTTAATTAGTTTTTATAATTAAAAATATCACAATCCAAAATTATGCACCAGTTTTTCATTTTATAAAATTAAAATTTTTATTATTTTTTATGAAATTTTTTCTATCCTAGATTTTTAAAATTTATTTTATTTCAAAAAAAATGATATGTAAACTTTCTAAAAATTAGCTTTATTTATAATGTTATTTAGATATAAATTAAATAGGTATTTCACTATTGTTAATTAGGAGGAAAAAATGAAGAAAAAATATGAAATAATAAGATTAATTAATAATTAATAAAATTAACAAAGAATTAAAAAATATGAAATCATAATAAAAAGAAAAAGGAAAACAAATAAAATAAATTAAAAGAACTTTAATGTTTTAAATTAACTATTATAATTAAAAATATTATAATATAAAACAAATAAATAGCTTTTATTAAGTGTAAGTTTTAATAGCAAAAATGAAGAAAAAATATCAAATAATAAAAAATGAATAATAAATAAATAATAAAAATTGAAATGAAAATTAAGTTAAAATTGCTAAAAAATTTAAGTTTTAATAAAAATCAATGAATAATGATGATAATTTCTTTTATAAATTATTTATTCAAACAAATTTAAAATAAAATAAACAAAAAATATTAATAATAATAAAAATAATATTTTTTAATTACATATACCGAAGATTAATATGGAGAACCTAATGAGATAAAAATGAAGAGCTTTTAAACTTTTTTTATTAATTTATATAAATTTAAAAGTTATTAATAAAAAAATTAATAATTACTTCTTCTAATTCTTCGTAATATTTAATCTATTATATCATTTATTTTTTTTTTCAAAAATATTGAATAGCAGTTTATGAAATTTAATTAATTAATTAATTATAAATGGATAAAAAGAACAAATAAATATAATAATTAATTAATTATCAAATATTAATTAATTTATTTTGTTTTATGAAGAGATATCACATTCACTATTTAAACTTAATATTTTTATTTAAAACATATACTTAAAAATATATATAGTAGGAATTAAAGACGGCCAGTTATTTATTTAGCAATATTTGAAAAAACCTGGTAGTTCTGCCCCGGACCCAATCTAAAAAATTTTATGTATGCCCCGTGGGGCAGTTGCCTCATTATATATTATATATTTTTATTCAATTAGATTTAATTACTTTTTTTAATTTTCTTATTTCTACTTAGCTTAGCTAAGCTAGACAATTAATTAATTAAAAACGAATGTATGTAATTAAATGCCATTCACTAGTATAGTAGTTTCCAAACGACTAAATTTTTGAATGGCATTTTGCTATATTTTGTTCTATCTTATAAACTCAAAACAAACAAGAATAATAAGATGGATTAATTAATATAGTGAGGCTATTAGATTTTTCTTACTTTTTTAAAAATGTTTACAATAAAGCAGTAAATTTAGATAAATGATTAATAAATAAATAAAAACAAATAATAATTATATTGTACTAAAATAAAATGGCTTATTAATTATTTAATCTAGTTGATTATTTATTTATTAATTAATTATTTTGCTTATTTTTTTATAATTTTTTGGTATTTTTTTTAACTAAAGTCATATTTTTTTGATATTTTTTTCACGTTAAAATTTAGTATTTTTAGAAAACAAACAAGTGTAATTGTTTTTTGTTCTATCTTATAAACACAAAACAAGAATAATAGGATTAATTAATATTGTGAGGCTATTGGATTTTTCTTACTTTATCAAAAATGTTAAGCAAAATGTTTACAATAAAGCAATAAAATTTAGATTACTAATTAATAAATAAATAAATAAAAACAAGTAACAATTATATCTATAGTGCTTTGATAGTAGAATAGTTTATAATATATAGTAATTTTTTATTTATTATAATATAAAATGGATTATTAATTATATAATTTAGTTGATTGTTATTTAATTAATATTTTTGCTAATTTTTTTATATTTATTGACATTTTTATACTAAAGTCACATTTTTTTGAGTTTTTTCTTAAGTATCGCAAATTTTTGCATGCTGATCCTTTGATAATAAAGTTTTTACTAAATACTTTAATATTTAGTATTTTTAGAAATCAAACAAGCGTAATTTATTTTTTTGTTCTATCTTATAAACTCAAAATTCTATCTTATAAACTCAAAACAAACAAGAATAATAGGATGCATTAATTAATATTGTGAGGCTATTAGATTTTTCTTACTTTATGAAAAATGTTTACAATAAAGCATTAATAATTAATAAATAAATGAAAACAAGTAATAATTATATAGTACTTTGATAGAATAGTTTATAATATATAGTGATTTTTTATTTGTTATAATATAAAATGGCTTATTATTATTATTATTTAATTTAATTGATTGTTTTTTAATTAATATTTATTTTTGCTAATTTTTTAACATTTATTGACATTTTTTAAGAGTAATTCATATAAAAACTCCTCTAAAGCCACACTCTTTTGAGTTTTTTTCTTGATTATCGAAAATTGAAGCATGCTCATCTTTTGATAATAAATTTCTAAGGTTTTCTTTGTAATACTTTTCTAAGAACTGCTAGGACTGTATTGAATATTCAACGTCTTCGAAGAAGTATGATAACTCTTTTCTAATGTATTCATCGATAGAGAATTTATTATAGTTATGCATTAACTTTTGTCTATAGTCTACTAAACCTTACATTTGTTGTGGAGATAAAGTAGCATGTACTATTGAAAGTATGTACTCTCTACCGAATTTGTCGTTTAATTTTTAAGATAAGGTGACATTTCTTACTGAATAGGAGACTTGGAGAGGATAGCCATCGAAAGTATTTATATTAGCTGTATAACTATCATTGTGGTTATATTTCATTTTTAGACCAATACCTTTTAAAGCTTAGTATATTACATCTGCTTTATCTTGAATTAAATCTATTTTCTGGTTTCTTAGAATCACTGTCTTGAAAGAAGCACAATCCAAACCTAGCATAGAAAGATAGCTTTTTGATATACCTGTATGGGCTAACTCCACCTCTTAGTCAATAAAATTATATCTGCCAATGTTAAAGACAAAAAACTTATTTTTCTCATTTTTTTATGTTTCTTCTATGTAATCAAAAGCGCATTAAATAAACTCTTTGAATTCCTGCTCTTTGATGCTTCTCATCTACTCGGATGACTTCGCTGAATAATAGATTGATTTAGTGAGTTAGTCAAAAACAGCCAATTGATTGCAAAGTTCTTGCTTGTTTAGATTAGCTATATTTCTATTCATCATGAGATCAACGCAATCTTCAATAGATTTTTTTGGCACAAGTCTATCAATCTAATGATTGATGTCTATAATGCCTAGATTATGCCTTTCTTCTATTTTAACTATTCTTGTTGGATAAAATCCAAAGCTAATCGGAGTAAGACAGTAACAATATCTTAGAACTCCATCTAAAGTAACAAAAACTCCACAATTCAATTTGAACAACTCTCTAGAAACGCTATTTTATATAACAAATGTCATTTTATTAACTAAGTCATTTTCTTTTTTTATTTTTTTTTGTATCCTTTTCTTCCTCTTCATTTCTTTCAATGCTTTTAATGCAGCTAAATCTATTGTTTCTTCTTTAGATTCCTACTCTTCGCTTTCTATATTTTCATCGCTACTATTTTTTTGATCTGTATTATTTTATGATCCAAAAGGGGAATTATACTCAAAAGGAACTAAAAACATATTATTATCATGATCAGTTTCAAATTAATTTTGGTTTTCCAAAATCATCTCTTAGTCATCGATTTCCATTTCTAATAAGGCTTTAATATATATAAAATGGGTTTATGGTTATGCTTAGATTTCGAAAGAAATATATGTAAGTTATTATTTAATTAGATAGATAAAGTCTTTATACTTTTTTATCAATTGATTAAAAAATAATCCCTTCTACACAATTTACTTTTTAAAGAAAGTCTTAGAATGAATGCTTTTTGTAATGAATTTTAGCAGAACAAAATTTACAAATTTACTTTTCAATTTACATAAATTTTTGTCAGAATTTACCAGATAAATAATATACGAACATCCAAATCAATTTCTAAAAGATAATTAGAATTCTATTTAAAATGAATAACCAAAATAAGATTACTTTTTTGCTTTTTAATTTTAGGTAAAAAACTAATTAAGTCAGTCTTCAATAGATAGAGAGATAGATAGATATTTCTAAATTATTTGTATATGATTTACTTAGATAGTAGTTAAGTATTAATCATTAATTGTTTTTTGCCAACTTTAAATGCTTTTTTTCTCAACTTAAGAAAATTTAAAACTTTATCTTACTACTTAGTGGCTTGCTTTTAGTTGATAATTTTAAAATTCATTTGTTTACTCTAAAATTAAAGTTAATTTTGTTTCAAAAAAAAATTCCACAAACCCATAAAAGAACAAAAAATAAATATATTTTTTAATTTATTATCAAAAGTAACTTCATTAATATCGATAAGTAAGTAAGTAATATATGAACATCCAAATCAATTTCTAAATGATAATTAGAATTCTATTTAAAATGAATAACCAAAATAATATTACTTACTTTTCAATTTTAGGTAAAAAACGAAGTAAATCTTCAATAGATAGATAGATATTTTTATAATATTTGCTTCTTATTTAGATAGTGTTTAAGGTTAACTATTTATTATTTAATTATTTTTTGCCAATTTTATATGCTTTTTTTTCTCAATTTAAGAAAATCAATTAAAAACTTTATCTTACTACTGAGTTTCTTTTAGTTGATAATTTTAAAATTTGTTTGTTTACTCTAAAAATTAAAGTTAAAAAATTTTGTTTCAAAAAAATTTCACAAACCCATAAAAGAACAAAAAATAAATATTTTTTTTAATTTATTATCAAAAGTAACTTCATTAATATTGATAAGTAAATAAGTAAGTAATATATGAACATCCAAATCAATTTCTAAATGACAATTAAAATTCTATTTTAAATGAATAACCAAAATAATATTATTTTAAATTTTAGGTAAAAAACAAAGTAAATCTTCAATAGATAGATAGATATTTCTAAAATATTTGCTTATAATTTAGATAGTATATAAATTTAACTATTATTAATAATTTAATTATTATTTGTCAACTTTAAATGCTTTTTTTCTAAACTTTAGAAAACTAATTAAAAACTTTAAAAGAACAAAAAGTAAATATACTTAAATATATTTTTTAATTTATTATCAAAAGTAACTTCATTAATATCTAGAAAGAAAAGTAGAAATCTAAATTAAATGACCTTTCAATTGATTATTTCATATATTTTCTTAATAATACTTTTGAATGATTACAAAAATTTTTTATTCATTCATTAAAGAAAGGTATGAATTTTTTAGTTAAAAGTCACCCACATATGTATTTATTCTCTTAATTCATAATAACTTAGTTATACTAACTATATCTCCTCGATAATTAATTAAGGCACTTAACTTACTTTTGAAGAAACTATTAACTTTTTTTACTTAAAACTAGAGGTAAGAATCGAAAGTATGTATCGATATCATCAAAACTTTCAATTACCTCAATTTACTACCAACAAAAAATAAAAAGATTTTAAGTTAAAGTAAATAAGGAATTTAAATTAGTATATAATCTCAAGTATCCTATTTTTTTGTCATTCAAAAAAATTAATTGTTTGTTTAAATCAAAATATATTTTCCAAAATATTTAGAACTTTGTCATAGTTATTTAACTCAATTATTGATAACTTTTATTGTTACAAGAAGTTAGCACAAAGAAAACAAAAAATTTAAGATTTTTTTTTTTTAAATTATATATTGAATTTATTTGAGAATAATAAAAATATATATTAAAAAAAATAAATTATTTTCTTATTAGAAAAAATAAAAAGTAATAGAACTGAAACTTACTTTTTCTATTTTTCCTAATAAATTATTGCCAAATCAAATTCTACTTATTTAAGTAAGTGCCAAGATTTTTATCTTAGTTAAAGTTTTATTTTATTATTATTTAAAAAATACTATATAATTTTGAGATTATCAAGAGTGTACTTAATTTGATTAAATTTCATCTATAGATAGATTGCTTAATTTTTTTAGTTCTATTTATGAATGGTACTTACTATATTTTTTAATTATAGGTTAAAGATGAAAGGCATTCTATTACTTTGTTCTTAAATTGTTTTAGTATTAAGTACTAGCTAAATTAATAACATCAATCAACATCTATAAATATGATTAAAATAATTTCTAATATTAAGCATATTAAACATTAAGAGAACTCATTATTTTTTACTTTATTAAAAAAACAAACTATATATGAAGCACATAAAATTATCTATTTATTTATTTATTTCCTTATTGTAAAAGTTAATAGTTTTAGATTTTTTTACTTTATATTTACATTAAATAGAATAAATAGATTGTTTACTAACTAATAATAATTGTACTAATTAATTATCTAATAAAACTAATAATTAATTTTTATGATACAAATGGTACTGACTTTCAAGTTAGCATATCCTTTTTTTATATAAAAATGTTTTTGACTTTAAAGTTAGCATATATATTCTTTTTTTAATACAAATAATATTTTTATCATAATTTAACATATTACAATTTATTTATTTCTTTTAATTTTAATAGGTTATAGGTAGTAAGTAAATAAGTAAGTAGGTGGATAAAACATGTTAAAAATAAATTATTTTAAAGTAACATTAAAAAATCCATCCTAATAATTTATAAAAGTTCCTTTACGATTTTAAAAGATAGCTTTATAATTTTAAAAGCTAATTAAAGTGAATTTGAATCAAAAAATAAATGAAGGTCATAATACAATTTTATATCATACTCAATCAATATTTATACAAATTAAAGTAGCATCTATGTATGTATGTATGCATGTATGTATGTATGTATTAAGTTTAGTTTTATAAATTAAATAAAGATATTTTGAAATTAAATAAAAAATTTCTAGAAAATATCTTTAAAATTTCAGATTTGTTTCAATCTAAAACTAACTTGAAATTTAATTTTATAAGATTCTAGAAATTATCTAATTAATAAATTAAGTAAATTTTACTTACAATTTTGATTTGATTTCAACTTCAATAAATTTATAACAACTATTTTAATTTATAAAAGTATTATTAAAAATAATTAATAAATTTAGAATAAATATTTAATTTTAAAAACAACAAAAAAGAGTTTCAAGACTATAAATTTAACAAATTATTATTTATTATATTAATCTAATTAATAGCTTATACATGATATATAAAATTTTATTTTATTTAATATTATTATTGGTATTAAAAGTTTTATTTTATATTTGTTTTATAATTATATAATATTTTTTAGATTCACAATAGTAAAAAATTAAATTAATTAAATTACTACCATATATATATATATGTATCTATTGATATCTGACTGACTGTCTGTCTATCTGTCTACATGTCTTAATTTTTAGTTCTATTATTATTATTATCTTTTTTAATAATGAATTTAATCTAAAAGTTATTCTAATTATTTTCTTCTTATAATGTATAAATACTAGCTTGACGTCTTATAATATTATATTTAGTGATGAATATATATAATAATTTTTTAGATAATATAAATTTTTGATTGATTATATAAGGCTATTTTCAAATAATTATTTCTTGAGTAAGAAATATAAACTTACTTAGTAGGACAATAAATAAATATATTTGATTTAATAAAAATAAAAAAAGGTTTTTGAGCTGGTTTCGAACGAATCTGATAGATAGAAGTAAAACATAGCTAAAAAATGTTTAATTTATATTACCATATCTATAGATTGTTTAAAATTTTTGATTAATTCTTTTATGGATGGAGGTACTATAATTTTTAATAATGGATTAAAGATAAAAGCCGTTCTAGTTAATTTCTTCTTATAATGTTTCAGAATTAAGTACTAGCTAAATTAATAATAACAATCAATATAATTAAATAAGATTAAAATAATTTCTAATATTTAGCTTATTAAGTATTAAAAAATCTCATTATTTATTTTTTAATTTCATTGAAAAAACTCTTAAGCACATAAAATTATATTTATTTTTGTTAAAAGCAAATAGTTTTAGATTTTTACTTTATATTTACATTAAAAAGAATAGATAGATTACATAATTATCTAATAAAATACTAATAATTCATTTGTATGATAAAAACGTTACTGGCTTCTTTTTTTATATAACTAATATTTATGTGATAATTTAACATATTACAATTTATTTATTTATTTATTTCTTTTAATTTATTTTAGTAGGTTAAAGGTTGATAAAAGGATGTTTAAAAATAAATATTTTAAAGTAAGATTAAAAAATCCATCATAATATTATATAAAAGTTACTTTACAATTTTTAAACGATAGCTTTTTAATTTTAAAAGCTAATTTAAGTGAATTTGAAGCAAAAAATAAATGGAGGTCATAGTAATTAAATATTAAAATTTTATATCATACTGAATCAATAAATATATATTTTATTTATACAAATTAAAGTAGTACCCAATAATTACTATTTATTCAGTAGAAAAATGTCTGAATTAAATTAATATTTTTACTATCTATATGTAATAGACATTTTAAATTCAAAAATGAATGTTTAGTTATATTAATTCAATTCTTTTCTCTCTATTATTTTTATCTTCGTTTATTTGTTAATTTATTTATTTATCTTCACTAGTAGACAAAAATTAGTATTACAAAATTTTAATTTAAAATACACTATAAATAGTATTTTAGTCTGTATATCAATCAAAATTTGTATTGTAAGAAATTATGAAAATCTAAAATCTTTTATTTAAAGTGAAACAATTTTTAAAAATATTGGCTTAGATAAGCTTAGTATTTAAGATTCAGATAGCTATTTATTGCATAATGTTGATTAAATAAATTTTAATTATAAATTCTTAGTCAAATTTTTCTAATTTGTCATTATTATTGAAAACTATACGGCTTGTTAATCAAATTTAATTGTACTATTTATAGACTTTTTGGAACAATTAACAATTACTTTAAATAGCAAAATCAAGATTCATGCTTTTAAGATATTTAATATATCAAACAAAAAAATACAATAAGAGCAAACAAAACAAAAAATAAAAATGAACATAAATTTCCTTTTATTAATTACCTTATGCTTACTTGGCTTATGCATCTCATAATAAAATAATTACGGCTAAAAAAGTGGCAATGATAAAAACTTTGAATAGGTTTATAATCAAACATAAGAATAAGCAAATTAAGATGCTTAAGAATTAATTGAATTATTCAAAAGAGAAAGAGATAATGGTGGATAGTGTTTTATGAAAGCAGTCAATCCTTTGGAGTATTCATAAGAAGAAATTGACATTGTTCACTACGAATTTAGCTGCTATAAACATTTATGTGGAATAACATCAAAAATACCATCAAGTCAAGAATATCATTTATGTATTAATAAAGAGTGTAATAGAGTTTATCATGATACATATTTTTTCATGTATGATTTAAAAAGTGATATTAAAAAATGTTTAGAATTTAAAGAAGAAGTAAAAAAAATTAATGGTGATAATAAATAAAATAATATTTATGATGATGATAACTCTTCTTAGTAAAATGAATCTTAAAAAGAAAAAGAAAACAAAAATTCCTCATCATCAAAAAAAGAAGATAATAATTAAAACAACATCGAAAATGTTGATAATATTGATAGAGATAATAAATCTTTTTCAAGCATACTTTCACTCTTATTATTAGGATTTAATATTTTATTATTTTGACTTAAGTAGTTAATATATATATATATTATTTATATAGTTTAATTTATTTTGTTTGCGTTAAATAAATATTTCAAACAAAAAACTTAAATTTCATTTTTAATTAATTATTATTATTAAAACAATAAAGTTAAAAAATAAACTAATTTTATATCAATAAATAATAGTAATTATTTTTTTTCTCTTAGTTTTCAAATTTTATAAATGTATGAATTCATTAATATTTATTTTACCTTTTTTAAATAATCTTTAAATTTATATTTATATAAGTAAAAATACTATATTCTATTCCACAAAGGATGGATTGATTCTCTGTAAAAAAGTAAGTAAATAAATTTACAAAAAAATTATTTTGATAATTTTGTAAAAGCAAGCTCTTTTTTTGACCTTTTCTTGACTTAATTATTTTCTCTACTTCATTTTGCAGTCCTAAAATTGTTATCAGTCACTCATGACCTAAATCGCTCTATTAATAAATTCAGCTTATCCGAATTAAATTTAAAATTAAGTCATTAAATAAATATCCATCTTTCTCCTCTTTAAAAAGTATAATTTGAACCACTTATCCTGAAACTTAATTTTATTTTATCATACCATTCATCCATCCACTTAAGATTTATTATATTATTTTTTAAACTTAAATTATCAAAATATATTCATTCAATTTTATTTCTACAGATATTTATTTTTTAATTACTCTAAATCCTCATTAATTAATAGCCGCATGCATAAATTTAAGGGCCAAAAAAATTTTTTAATAATTAATTTACAGATATTTATTTTAAAATCTTGTTTGTGGTGATTATCAATCATTTAGGTTATGTAAAATAGTTAAAGACAGATATTAAATTCTACATTGTAACTCACATTAAAATGTATTACTAACGAATCATAGAAATTTAAGACAGTAAAGATTTAATTGTTATTTTATATTTATTTTTTTCTTAGTTAGTTTGGATTAAACAATATATATTTAATTTTTAAATATTAATTAACCTTAATTCCAATATTTCTATTTCACTGTTCTTTTTAATTGAAAATAGAGGAAGTATTCTAACAGTTTTGTTCTTTTGTATTTTAAGATAAAATATTGCGGAACCCACATGTTTGATAGGAATTAAGAAGATTTTTTATATTATCTTTATAGTATTTTTCTAAGAATTGCTATGATTTAACAGAATATTCTACGTCTTCAAATAGATAAGATAATTCCTTTTATATATATTCATCAAGAGAAAGGAAACCTTTGTTTTGCATAATCTTTTATCTGTATTCAATCAAACCTTGCATTTATTTAGGTTTTATGTGAGCTTAATTAATAAGAAGTATGTATTCATCACCATATATAAAATTAATCTTTTAATTCAATGTAATATCCTTTATAATATACTCAATTTACAAAGGATACCCATCAAATGTCATAATATCGCTAATAAATACATCTTCACTATTCAATTTTGCCTTTAAATGGATACCTTTTAAAGCTTAATTTATTATATCTGCCTTATTTTGTATTAAATCTATATTTTATTTTCTAAGAAAAATTGCCTTAAATGAATTGCTATCTAATCCTAGAATTTATTGATACAGATTTGACATTCCTGTATGAGATATTTCTACTTATTTTTCTATAAAATTGTATCTCCCAATTACATAGCTAAAAGGAATATTTTCTTGTTACTTCTGCATTTCCTTGATGTACTAGTAACAGTATTTGATGAAGCCTTAATACTCTTACTCTTTTAACATTTTTAAATCATAAGGAATTGTATTGTTATTATATAAATTATCTGTAAACGTATTAATGTTCATTAATTATTCTTGTAAATCTTATTTATTTTTATGAGCTAAATTTTTTTACATCATAAGATTCACGCAATCCTCAATTGACATCCTTGGTATCAGCCTATCTAAAGATTAGTGAATATCTATAACACTTAGATCGCTCATTTCCTCAAATTTTAAGTACTTATAAGGACAAAATCCAAAACTAACAGGACTTAAAGAGTATGAAAATCTTAGGACTCCATCAAGAGTAATGAATATGCCAGAATCTAGCTTAAATAATTCTGCTGAGTAAATATCTTTAAAAATACATATTTATAAGCAAGTTGGATGTTATTTAACCTTTTTAATTTTCTTTTTTTGTATCTTTTTTTATCTAGAAATTTGTAATTTTTTTGTTTCTTCTTTAGAATCCTCACTATCTTACTCGTAAACATTTTAATTGTAAATATCTTTTTTACTCTAATTAGTTAATTCCTATTAAATTATCAAGGAATATTCAAGTGGCTTCAAAATCATTCCAATATTCTATTGGTCAGTTATCAAATCAGCTGCTTATATATACTCAAAACCTTCTATTTCCATAGATATCTTCTACTTTTGATTAATATATTTACAGCTTAACAACTATTAATTGATTAAATGAATAAATTGTAAAATTTGCTTTAATTAAAATCACGAACTAAATAATTCAAGAAAAAAATGTGAAGATAATTTAATAGATAGAAATACATACCTAAATTCATTCTGTTCAAGTAGATAAAATAATTAATAAAGATTTACTTATTTCTAGATAATTTCTAGATAAAAAAAAGAAATAAATAAATAAATAATAGATTTTTTGCAAAAAATATTAAATTTTGTATATGAAGATTTATTCTATGACTTAATTTATTTAAATTTATGCATGCTTTGTAAATTTATAACATTTTTCATTAATTCTAAATATTTTCTAAGAATTTCATTTATAATATTTTAATTATTTGGTTGAAATTCAATAATTTTCTTTCAAAAATCTAAAAGCAGAAGAATAAAAAGCAAATAAATGATAGATTTCGTTAGAATTTTCTATTTTTTTATTAATTAGAATTTATAAATAAAATATAATCGAAAGTAAAAAAGGTTTTAATCAATAATTATTTATTTATGATATTTAATCTTTGAAAGATGAATAAATATCTTTAAGCTTTAAATGTTTGTTAATTACTTTAAATAAATATTATAATTTAAAATAACAAAATATTAAAAATGAATTTTCTTTTATCGTAATATAATTAATTAATTGATAAATAGAAATTGAGTTCTGGTTGGTTGGTTGGCGATATAATTTATTGAATTGATTATTAGTTAGTTAATTAATTAATAAGTTTATAGTAAAAGTATATGAGCAATTTAATTATTTTTTATTAGTTAGATAGTTAGTTAGTTAGTTTATTATAATTATTTTATTTTCACATCAAATTTTTTAAATCTATATTTTCTATTTATATTTAAGATATTTTGCTTTCATTTTAAATGTAACGATATCCACATTGTATATTGCCTTTTTATTTAAGTAAATTATCTAGATTTTCTTTATAGTATTTTTCTATGAACTGTTAAGACTAAACAGAATATTCAACGTCTTCAAATAAATACGATAATTCTTTATTAATATATTCATCTATAGAAAGAGCTTCAGAATTAAGCATTAGTTTTTTTCTATAATCAACTAATCCCTGCATCTAGTTAGGAGATACATTAATTTTTGTAATGACTAGGATATATTCATCTCCAAATAAATCATTCAGCTTCTATTATATTGTGACATTTTTTGTATGATAGTTAATTTTCAAAGGATATCCATCAAATGTAATGATATCAGCAGAAAATGTGTCTTCGCTATTGAATTTGCTCTTCAAATTTATTCCATTCAAAGCTGATAAGATTATATCAGCTTTATTTTGAATGAGATCTACCTTTTGATTTCTTAATACTATTGATCTAAACGTGTTATAATCCAATCCTAATAGCGATAAATAGCCTTTTGACATTCCTGTATGACATATTTCTACATCTTTATCTATATAATTGTATCTTCCAATAACAAAACTTAATAAGAGGTCGGGTTCTTCATTTTATAGCTTTCCTATGTATTTGTAAGAATGTTGAATGAAACTTTAAAATTCATTTTCCTTAAAAACTCTCAACTACTTAGGAAGGGCATTACAATTATAAATTTTTCTAACCATTTAATCAAAATTATCTAACTCAGAGAAAACCACTTGTTTATTTAAGTGAGCTAAATTTTTATGCATCATAAGATTTACGCAATCTTCAATTGATCTCTTGGGAAAGAGGTTATCTATGGTCTATGTTATATCTATTATACCTAAATTATGCATTTCTTCTATTTTTAAAACCTTTTATGGGCTAAAACCAAAGCTTACTGGATTTTAAGAGTAGCAAAATCTAAGAACACCATCTAATGTAATGTAAACTCCAGAATTTAATTTAAATAATTCTCTGCATGGAATACTTTAAATAGTGAACTGCTTTAAATTTATTTAGCCCTTATCTTTTTAAATTTTCTTTTTAATCCTTCTCATCCTCTTTTATTGCTTTTCATTTTCTTTTGAATCTTCTTCATCTTTAGAGTAACAATCATCATCATTGTAAATTTCATCATCATTATTATTCTTTTTATTGTTTATTTAGTAATGATGCCCAAATGGAGACGAATATTCAAATGGCACAACAAAAATGTTATTACTCAGCTCGCTAGAACTTTAACTAAAAATTGGAGTGCTAAAACCTTGTATTTCCATTCTCCTTAAGTGCTGACTTATCTTAAATTTATTTTCTTCTTCTTCTTAAAAAATTGATAATAAATCTTTAATTTAATATTTTTTTGATAACTTTTCAGACAATTAATTTGCGTTTGCTAAAAAATTTAATTCATTTTAACATGGAGTAAATGAAATGAAAAAGTATTAATTAAACCAATATTATTATTACTACTATCGCAAATGCCTTAAAATTACATGAAACTAAATGAATGCTTTATAAACTAAATCTTTACAATTTTTCAAAGATGAATTACAGAAATTTGACCAGAATTCACCAGTATAAAATTTACATATGAAGTATTAATGAAAAATAAAGTTAATAAGCAAATTCTAATTAAATTATTCAATAGTTATCTATCTATCAAATTTTTTTATTAATTCTATTGAATATTTGTTTATTAATTTACTATTAAATTAAACTTAAAAAATTTTCTTTAATTTTATCGAATAATACCATAAAATCTTATTTAATACAGTGACTATTTAAAAGAAATTTATTTTTTTAAATTTTTATTAAAATTTTTAATTTTTTCATATTTTTTGGCTAAATCTGAGAACTAGTTTTAGAGGAATTAATTTATTTAAGTAAATTTCATTTTTTAATAAGCTATTTATTTATTTATTTATTTATTAACTTACAAAAATATGATTTTCATAAATACAAAAATAACAATGAATCTATCAATCAAAATTTTAGGTTTAATTATCCTATTTCAAATTATTTTAGAATAAAAAATATGAATTATAGTTTATTATTCAAATATTTTATATTTATTCATCATATTTTCACCACTTACTTGTTTGTTTTTATCAAACAAATTCTATTTTATAGACAACTAATCTTTTTGATTTAAGGCACTTGCTTTACACTTTCAATTATTATTATGGTTCATAGATTTAGTTTAAACTTTTATTATTAATTAGTGCAAATTATGAACAATAATTAAATAAAAAAACATTAGCAGAATAAAAAAGAAAAATAAATATTAATCAAATAAAAAGCTTTAAATAAATTAAAAGTGCTTTATTGTTTTATTTTTTAAATAAAAAATATCTCAATCCAAAACAAATAAACTGTTTTTTTTTACCCAAGTTCAAGTGTCAAATTTGTGAGATTAGTGTAATTTGAAAAAGCAGAAGCTAAATCTTATGCACCTATTGCACCAATTTTATTGCTACTTTTTAAATATTTAAGAAAAAATATATAAACAATTAGCTAATTAGTAGGAAAAAATAACATATAAACTATTTTTACCTCAGGTAAAGTTTCAAATTTGACAGATTAATGCAATTTGCTAAGCCAAAACCTAAACCTGATGCACCCATTGCACCAATTTAATTGTAACTTTTTAAATATTGAAGAACAAATATATAATGAATTAGTTACTTAGAAGAAAATATGAAATTAATGCAAAAGTAGGAAATAAAAATTAGTTAAATTAACAAAAAAAGAAAGAAAAAAATATCACAACCAAAACAAATAAACTGTTTTTACCCAAGGTTAAGTGTTAAATTAGAGAAATTAGTGCAATTTCCTAAAGCAGAACCTAAACCTGAGGCACCAATTGCATCAATTTAATTAGAACTTTTTAAATATTGAAGAAAAAAATAGAATTTATTAGTTAGTTAGTTAGAAGAAAGTATGAAATGAATTAACTTTTTAATTAAAGCAAAAGTTGAAAATAAATAATGGGTTAAATTAAAAAAGAAAGAAAAAAAATAGGCACAATAAAATAGAAAAATAGATGAAATTTTTTAATTCATTTTTAATATTAAAAATATCACAATCCAAAACAAATAAACTATTTTTACCCAAGTTAAAGTGTCAAATTTGAGAGATTAGTATAATTTGAAAAAACAGAACCTAAGCTTTATGCACCTATTGAACCAATTTTATTGCTACTTTTTAAGTATTAAAGAAAAAATAAAAAATAATTAGTTAGTCAGAAGAAAAAATATCAAATGAATTAATTAATAATGCAAAAGTTGAAAATAAAAAAATTAGTTAAATTAACAAGAATTAAGAAGAAGAAAAAAATAATAATACAATAAAAATGAAAAAGAAAAATAAATCAAATAAATTAAATGAGCTTTATTCTTTTAAATTAATTTTTGTAATTAAAAATATCACAATCCAAAATAAATAAACTCTTCTTACTAAAGATCAAGTGTCAAATTTGAGAGATAAGTGCAATATGATAAAGCAGAACCTAAGCTTGATGCACCAATCGCACCAATTTTATTGTCACTTTTTAAATATTGAAGAAAAAATATAAAATTAATTAGTAAGAAGGAAAAATCATAAATGTAAAAGTTGAAAATAAAAATGATTTAAATTAAAAAAAAGAAAAAAAACACAAGAACATTATTAAAGAAAAAAAATAAAATAAATTAATGAAATTAAAACTATCAAATAAGTTAAAAGAGCAAAATTTTTTAAAATTCATTTTTATAATTAAAAATTTCACAATCCAAAACAAATGAACTTTTTTTACTGAAGATCAAGGCCTAGAGTTTAGAGATTAGTGTACTTTGCTAAAGCAGAACCTAAACCCTATGCACCTTCATCGCCAATTTAATTGTCACTTTTTAATTATTGAAGAAAAAATATATAATTAATTTGTTAGTTAGTTAGAAGGAGAAAGTGAAAAAATATGAAATAAATTCATTAATAATAAATATAAAAGTAGAAAATAAAATTAATTTAAATAAGTTAACAAAGAAAGGAAGAAATAAAGAAAGAAAAAATACAAACACAATAAAAAAGAAAGAAAAAATAAACTAAATAAAAAGATTTTTATTGTTTTAAATTAACTTTTATAATTAAATATACCACAATCAAAAACAAATAAACTGTTTTTACCAAAGTTAAAGTTTTAATTCTGAGATATTAGGGCAATTTGCTAAATAGGAACCTAAATCTGATGCACCTTTTGCACCAATTAAATTGTTACTTTTTAAATATTTAAGAAAAATATATAATTAATAACTTAGTTAGAAGGAAAAAATGAAGAAAAAATAGGAAATTAAGTAATAATATTTAAAAAATGATTTAAATTTACAAAGAAAGAAAAATAAATTAAATGAGCTTTATTATTTTAAATTCATTTTTGAAATTAAAAATATAACAATCCCAAAGAAATAAACTTTTTTTACCCAAGTTCAAGTTTTAAATTTGAGAGATTAGAGCAATTTGCTAAACCAGAACCTAAGCCTGATGCACCTATTGCACCAATTTTATTGTTACTTTTTAAATTTTAAATTAAAAGAAATAATTAATTAATTAGGTAGCTCAGAAGAAAAAATAGGAATTTAATTAATTTTTTAATAAATAAAAAAGTTTAAAATAAAAAATGAGTTAAATTAACAAAAGCAAAAATAAAATAAGTACAAATAAAAAAATCAAATAAATAAAAAGAAATTTATTGTTTTGAATTCATTTTAAAAATTAAAAATATCTCTTTCAAAAATAAACAAATTGTTTTTACCGAAGGTCAAGTACCAAATATGAGAGATTAGTGCAATTAGCTAAACCAGAGCCTAAGCCTGATGCACCTTCGGGGCCAATTTAATTGCCACTTTTTAAATATTGAAGAAAAAATATAAATTAATGATTACCTTTTCAAAAAAAGTTGGAGATCTTTTTTTATTTTTATAATAATTATGGAAATACAGGTAGAAATTATGTATTAATATACACTAAGAAATAAGTTTTTAAATTTGGTTTAGTATTAATTAAAATTTTATTTCTCATTTTATTTTTTATTTAAAAAAATTATCTATTTTTGAAATTATAAAAATTTCAAAACAAGATAGATTTTTTAATAAATAACTTAAAAATCTATTTCAAAATAAGTACATCCAAACAATGGAATTTTTGAGTGGCAACTTGCTATACTTGAGTATAAGATATAAAATTAGAAATAGAAAAACTATTACAAAACTCAATTTATAATAAATTAAAATAAAATTTCCAAATTTTTTGGATTGATTAGGAAGAAGAAAATGATGTAGAAAAATATGAAATTAACTAATTAATTAATAATAAAGTAAAGGTTGAAAATAAAAAAATGGGTTAAATTTAACAAAGATAGAAAATAATAATCAGCACAATAGTAAAGAATAAAATTAATAAATGAAATAAAAAGCTATCTTATAAATTAAAAGATCTTTATTGTTTTAAATATAATTTTAAAATTAAAAATATCACAATCCAAAATAAATATTTCTACTAAAGGTCAAGAATCAAATTTTAGAGATTAGTGCAATTAGCTAAAGCAGTACCTAAGCCTGATGCACCCATTGCTCCTATTAAATTACTGCTTTTTAAATATTGAGAAAAAAAATGAAATGAATAGATTAATGAATGCAAAAGTTGAAAATAAAAAATGAGCTAAAATTACCTAAGAAAGAAAAGAAAAAGACAAGGAAAATAAAAAATGAAAAGAAAAATAAATCAAATAAACTGCTCAAATAAATTAAAAAAGAGGGCTTTATAGTTTTAAATTCATTTTTATAATTAAAAATATCATAATCCAAAACAAATAAACTGTTTTTACCTCAGGTGAAGTATTAAATTTAAGAGATTAGTGCAATTCGATAAAGCAGAATTTAAGCTCGATGCACCATCATGACCAATATAATTGTAACTTTTTAAATATTGAAGAAAAAATATATAATTAATTAGTTAGTTAGTTAATAAGTTAGTTAGAAGGAAAAATTGAAGAAAAAAATTAAATGAATAAATTAATAATAAATGCTAAAAATGAAAATAAAAAATTGAGTTAAATTAATAAAGAAAGGCAATATATGAAGAAGAAATGTAAAATAATAAAAAATGGAAAGTGAAAGTTAAGCTAATAGTTAAAAAAATATTTGTAAAAATAAAAGTGAATGAATTTAGATGAGAATTTACATTAGAAAAAATTATTTTTTTAATAAATTGAAAGTTAAATATTTAGAAAATATTAATAATATCAATAAATTAAATTTACTTCAGATCAATAATTAGAACCTGATGAGATTAGAGTGAAGAATTTAAAAACTTTTATTATTAATAAAAGTAAATTTAAATAATATTGATAAAAAAATAAATAATTACTTATTTTAATCTGTCGTAATTTTTAATCTATTATATCATTTATTTTTTTTCAATAATATTGATTAGCAATTTATGGAAATTTAATTAATTATAAATTGATAAAAATTAAGCAAAGAAATTAAACAAAGAAATTATAATATCAAATTTGCATTTATAAATTTGCTTTTAGCAAGAGATATCACTAAAAAGTTAGTGTAACTAATATTCATTATTTAATCTTATTTTTTTATTTAAAATATTTACTTAATTAATAATATAGTAGGAATTAGAGAAGGGTATTTATATGTTCAAAAATTTTTAGTAATTACTTACTTAATAAATATTCACAAAATATGGTGAAAATTTATGTTTGATGGTGAGAATTTATAAGGATTTATGGTATTTATTTATTAACTTACAAAAATATGATATTCAGAAATACAAAATAATAATAAATCTATCTATCTATTGATATTTTAGGTTAAACAATTTAAAAATATTATATAATAAAGCATATTATTTTCTACTATTCAAATTTTTTATATTTATTAATGCCTTTTTCACGACTTACTTGTTTATCATCATTAGAAATTGATTTCAAAGAACACTAATCTTTTTGATTTAAGGCACTTGCTTTATACTTTCAATTATTATTATGATCCATTGATTTAGTTTTCGCTTTTATAATATATTAGTGAAATTAAAATAAATAATTGAATAAAAAAAAACATTAGCAGATTTAAAAAGAAAAATAAATATTAATCAAATAAAAAGCTTTAAATAAATTAAAAGTGCTTTATTATTTTATTTTTAAAATTAAAAATATCACAATCCAAAATAAGTAAACTTTTTTTACCCAAGGTAAAGTGTCAAATTTGAGAGATTAGCGCAATTTGCTAAAGCAGAACCTAAGTTTGATGCACTTTCATCACCAATTTAGTTTTCACTTTTTAAGTAAAGAAGAAAAATATATAAATTTAATTAGCTAATTATTTATTTACAATGAAAATTTGAAGAAAAAATTTTAAATAAATTTATAATAAATACAAAAGTTCAAAATAAAAATAATAGGTTAAATTAACAAAGAAAGGAAAGAAAAAAAGCAATCAAAATAATAAAAGAAGAAAAAAAATAAATCAAATAAATTAAAATAGCATTATTGCTTTAAATTTAAATAAATAACTATTTTTACCGAAGGTAAAGTTTTAAACTTGAGAGATTAGTGCAATTTGCTAAACCAGAACCTAAACCTGAAGCACCCGTTACACCAATTTAATTGTTACTTTTAAAATATAAAAGAAAAATATATAATTAATTATTTAGTTAGTTAGAAGGAAAAAATGAAGAAAAAATATGAAATTAAATACTTCATAATAAATGCAAAAGTTGAAAATAAAAAAAATAGTTAAATTTACAATAAATACTTCAATAAAATAGAAAAATAAATCAAATAAATGGATAAACTGTTTTTACCTAAGGTACAGTTTCAAATTTTAGAGATTAGTACAATTTGCTAAATTATAACCTAGGCCTAATGCGCCTTCATCACCAATTTAATTGCCACTTTTTAAATATTTAACAAAAAATATATAATTAAATAGTAAGTTAGAGGGAAAATATAAATAAAAAATATGAAATTAATTAATAATAAATACAAAATTTTATAATAAAAAATGAGTTAAATTAAAAAAAAAACAAAAGTAAAAAAAAAATAAAAAGAATCAAATAAATGAAAAGAGCTTTATTGTTTTAAATCCATTTTTATAATGAATAATTTACAATCCAAAGCAAATAAACTGTTATTACCTAAGGTTAAGTATCAAATTTGATAGACTAGTGCAATTTGCTAAACCAGAGCCTAAGTGAGCACATTCATCACCAATTTAATTGCCCCTTTTTAAATAATGAAGAAAAAATATATAATTAATTAATTAGTAAGTTAATTAATTGTTAATAAAAAATGTAGAAATAATAGGAACAGAATTAATTTACCATAAACACAAAAGTTGAAAATAAAAAATAAATTAAATTAACATAGAAAGAAGAAAAAAAACAACCAAATTCAAAAAAAATAAAAAGAAAAGTGAATCAAAAAGCTATCAAATAAAATAAAAAAGAGCATTATTGTTTTAAATTCATTTTTAAAAGTAAAAATATCACAATCAAAAAAAATAAACTATTTTTACCCAAGGTCAAGTGTCAAATTTGAGAGATTAGTGCAATTTGCTAAATTTTAACCTAAGCTTGATGCACCTGCATCACCAATTTAATTGCCACTTTTTAAATATTGAACAAAATGTATGTTATTAAATAGTATGTTTAAAGGATAAAATGAAGAAAAAATATGAAATTAATTAATAAAAAATGAAAAAATTGAAAATAAAATAAAAGCTGTTAAATAAATTACAAAAGCTTTGTTTATTATTTTAAATTTATTTTTTAAATTAAAATTATCTCAATACAAAAAAATTAACTATTTTTACCCAAAATAAAGTGTCAAATTTGAGAGATTAATGCAATTTGCTAAAGCAGAACTAAAGCCTAATGCACCAGTTGCACCAATTTAATTGATACTTTTCATTTATTAAATAAAAAATATAATTAATTAGTTAGTTAGTTAGAAAGAAAGAAAGAAAGAAAGAAAAAAGGAAGAAATATAGGAAACAAATTAATAAAATTAACAAAGAAGTTAAAAAAAACACAAATACAATAAAAAAGAAAAAATAAAATAAAAAGTTATCAGATAAATATAATGAGCTTTATTGTTTTAAATTCATTTTTATAATTAAAAATATCAAACAATTAAAATGTTTTTACCTAAGATTAAGTGCCAAATTTGATAGATTAATGCAATTTGCTAAAGCTGAACCTAAGCCTAATACACCTTCATCACCAGTTTTATTGCGACTTTTTAATATTGAAGAAAAAAAATATTATTAGGAATTAGTAAATTTAAATAAAAAAATAAAGAAAAAATATGAAATTAATTATTTAATAACAAACGCAAAATTTGAATTTAAAAAAATGTATTAAATTAATAAAGAAAAAAAGAAAAAAATATCAAAAAAAAAGCTTTATTGTTTTAAATTCTTTTTTAAAAATAAATATTTCACGATCCAAAAGAAGTAAACTTTATTTACCTAAGGTTAAGTGTAAAATTTGAGAGTTATTTGCAATTTACTAAAGCTGAACCTAAACCTAATACACCTATATCACCAATTTAATTGCGACTTTTTAAATATTGAATAAAAAATATAAAATCATTTAGTTAATAAGTAGGAGAAAATGGAGAAAAAATATGAAATGTATTAAATTAATAAATGCAAAGTTTAAAATAAAAAAATGAGTTAAATAAAACAAAGAAAGAAAGAAAGAAATAAACATAAATACAATAAAAAAGAAAAAGTAAATAAATCAAATAAATTGAAAGAGCTTTATTGTTTTAAATATCACTACTCTAAACAAATAAACTGTTTTTACCCAAGATCAAGTGTCAAATTTTATAAATTAGTGCAATTTGCTAAAGCTAAGCCTAAATTTGATACACCTTCATCACCAATTTAATTGTAACTTTTTAAATATTGAAAAAAGAAATATATAATTAGTTAGTTAGTTAGTTAGTTAGTTAGAAGGAAAAAGAGAAAAAATATGATGAAATGTAATGAGTTAATTAATTAATTAGAAATGCAAAAGTTGAAAGTAAAATATGAGTTAAATTAGCAACAAAAGAAAAAAAAGACACAAGCAAAAGAAAAAGAAAATAAATCAAATAAAAAGCCATTAAATAAATTAAAAGCTATTGTTTTAAATTCATTCTTAAAATTAAATACTCTAAATCCTCATTAATTAAGAGCCGCATAAATTAAGCGCCAAAAAAATATTTTTTATGGAAGGGCCTCAGGGTAGGCTTTAAAGATGGGGGTGGGGGTGCCCTTAATTAATGAGGATTTAGAGTATATCACAATACAAAAAAAAACAAATAAACTGCTTTTACTCAAGGTCAAGTTCCAAATTTGAGAGATTAGTGCAATTTGCTAAACAAGTACCTAAGCCTGATACGCCTAGTGCACCAATTTTGTTGTAACTTTTAAAATATTGAAATAAATTAGTTAGTTAGAAAAAATAATGAATAATGAATATGAAATGAAATGAAACGAATAAATTAATATTAAATACAAAGTTGAAAATAAAAAATGAGTAAATTAACAAAGAAAGGTAAAAAAAACAAAAGCATAATTAAAAAGAAAAAGAAAAATAAATCAAATAAAAAACTATCAAACAAATTAAAAGCTTTATTTTATTACTTTAAAATTCATTTTTTTAATTCAAAATATCATAGTCCAAAAAAAATAAACTGTTTTTACAAAAAAGAAAGTGTCAAATTTGAGAGATTAGTGCAATTTGCTATACCAGAACCTAAGCCTGATGCACCTATTGCACCAAATTAACAGTTACTATTTATATATTTAAGAAAAAATATATAATTAATAAGTTAGTTAGAAGGAAAAAATGAAGAAAAAATAAAAATGGGTAAATAATAATAAATGCAAAAGTAGTTAATTAAATTAACAAAGAAAGAAAGAAAGAAAGAAAGAAAGAAAGAAAGAAAGAAAGAAAAAAAAGACAAGCAAAATAAAAAAGAAAATTAAAAATAAATTAAAAGAGCTTTCTTGTTTTAAATTCATTTTTATTATTAAAAATATTATAATCCAAAACAAGTAAACTTTTTTACCGAAGATAAAGTGTCAAATTTGAGAGATTAATGCAATTTGCTAAAGCTGAACCTAATTTTGATGCACTTTCATCACCAAATTAAGTATTACTATTTAAATATTGAGGAAAAAATGTATTGAAGAAAAAATATAAAATGAGTTAGTTAACAGTAAAAGCAAAATTTAAATATAAAAAATGAGTTAAATTAACAAAGAAAGAACAAAAAAAACAATATTCTGAATCTTTATAATTGAAAATATAATAATCAAAAACAAATAAACTGTTTTTATCAAGTAAAAGTGTTAGAAGCAATAAATGTGAAAAAATATAAAATAATAAAAAATGAATTAGAAAGAATAAAAAATGAATTAGAAAGAATAAAAAATGGAAGTAGAAATTTAAGTTAATTGCTAAAAAAATATTTGTTTAAATAAAAATGAATAAATAAATATTGATGTGAATTTCTATTTGAAAAAATTAAATTATAAATACATTGAAAATTAAATAAATATACCTCAGATCAATATGGAGAATCTAATGAGATTAGAGTGAAGAGTTTAAAAACTTTATTATTAATAAAAATAAATTTAAAGAAAATTCATTCAAAAATAAATAAGTAATTACTTCTTCTAATTCGTAATATTTAATCTATTATATCATTTATTTATTTATTTATTCTCAAAAATATTGAATCAATTTATGGGAATATAATTAATTAATTATAAATGGATTAAAATTAAACAAATATATTCTAATAATTATCAATTATGAATTTATAAATTTACTTTTAGTATAGCACTTTACAATTTTAAAAATATTCATGGCTATCTATTTATTAGCGATGATTTAATTAATATTTAGAAATATATATAATTAAAGATTATGTATATTTTTTAAATTTATTTTCTGATATATTTTGATGCTTTAAATGAAAAATAGTATTTCATCAAAATATTTATTTATTTATAAGCCTAATAAATTAAAAATTCGGCTGAATTGAAAAATGAGTGATTGATTCGGTCGATTACTGGTAAATAAATATATTAAAAATTATTTAATACAAGTGAGTTCGTATTCTAATTATCTTTAATTCCAATCTCTAGTTCAAACTATATTTTTAAGTAAGTGCATATTTATTTTAAATAGAAATTTAAGATTTAATAATGGAGCTATCCTAACTTTTTTGTGATTTCTATTAAGAAAAGCAAATTAATAAATTGATATAATTTATTTTTTCTTTTTATCCACTAATAATTAAATTTCCATAAATTGCTATTCAATATTTTTGAATAAAAAAAATAAATGGTTATATAGACTAAATATTATTTCGGATTAGAAAAAGTAATTATTTATTTTCTTATCAAAATATTTTAAATTTTATATTTACTAATATTAAAAGTTTTTAGATTCTTCTCTTGAATCTCACTAGGCTCTCCATATTGATCTGAGGTATATTTAATTAATTTATAAATATTACTATTCTTACAATTAATATTATTTATAAATTTAAATTTCAGTTTATTTAAAATATTATTTTAGGATTAGAAATTATCACCTATCAATATTCATTCATTCATTGATTTAATAGATAAAAATATTTATTTAGTTATTTTAACTTAATTTTTACTTGAAATTTTTAAATTCATTCTCATTTTTTATTCATTTTTTCCTTCTAAAACTTTTTATTAATGAAAACAGCTTATCTTTTTTTGATTGTGATATTTTTTTTATTAAAATGAATGAATTTAAAGCAATATAACTAACTAACTAACTAACTTTTTTAATTTCTTTATTAGTTTTTTATTTAATTTATTTATTTATTTCTTTTTTAATGTATTTTTTTGTGTTTTTAGTTTCTTCTATCTTTCTTTTTTATTCTAATGTGTTTTTTTTCTCTTATATCTTTTTATTTTTTCATTTTTTTATTTTCAACATTTTTTTTTTATTATTTATTCATTTGTTATTATTTCATATTTTTTCACTATTTTTTCCTTCTAAATAACTAATTAATTTGTTATTTTTTCTTCAATATTTAAAAAGAGGAAAAAAAATTTGGTATATTGATGCATCATACTTAGGATTTGCTTTAGAAAAATGCACTAATCTCTAAAATTTGAAACTTAGTCTTACGTAAAAACAAA